TCTACCCCATGTATGTCACGGTCTACCCCATGTATGTCACAGTCTACTCCATGTCACGGTCTACCCCATGTATGTCACGATCTACCCCATGTCACGGTCTACCCCCAAGTCACAGATAGTCTTTTTTTAGTTGTTTTATTGAGCTCTGCACTTTTCTCTGCTCCCCTCTCTTCTTCTCCCCTCCCCTTCTGTCCTCTCCCATGGTCCCCATGCTCCCAATTTACTCAGGAGGTCTAGTCTTTTTCTACTTCCCACGCAGATTAGATCTATATATGTCTCTCTTTGGGACCTCTTTTTGTCTAGGTTCTCTGGGATTGTGATTTATAGGCTGTAGTGAGGGGCTGCGGGCAGGCTTGCTTTTCATCCCACCTGGGCTCCCGCATGGCTAGCTTAGCCCCGGAAATAACAACACACAAATTGTATTCATTTAAACACTGTCTGGCCCATTATCTCTAGAGAGTTAGTTACTAACTAACTCTCACATCTTGATTAACCCATTTCTAATAATCTGTGTAGCACCATGAGGTGGTGGCTTACCGGGAAAGATTCAGCATGTCTGACCTGGTGGCTGGCTCCATGGCGTCTGCCTCATTTTCCTCTTCCCAGCATTCTGTTTTGTTTACTCCTCCTACCTAATTTTCTGTCCTATCAAAGGACCAAGGCAGTCTCTTTATTAACCAATGAAAATAACACATAGACAGAAGGTCCATCTACATCAATAGGCTATTTTGTTTTATTTTGTTTTATGTCTAAAAGCCACTTATGAATGAGTACATGTGATATTTATCTTTCTGGGTCTGGGTCACCTCAGTCAATATGTTTTTTTTTCTAGATCCAACCATTTGCCCACAAATTTCAAGATGTCATTATTTTTTTCCACTGTGTAGTACTCCATTGTGTAAATGTACCACATCTTCTTTATCCATTGTTTGGTCAAGGGGCATTTAGGTTGTTTCCAGGTTCTGGTTATGACAAATAATGGTGCTATGAACAAAGCTGAGCACATGTCCTTGTGGTATAATTGAGTGTCCTTTGGGTATATACCCAAAAGTAGTATTGCTGGGTCTTAAGGTAGGTTGTTTCCTAATTTTCTGAGAAATCATCATACTGATTTCCAAAGTGGCTGTACCAGTTTGCACTCCCACCAGCAATGCAGAAGTGTTCCCTTTTCCCCACAACCTGTCCAGCATAAGTTGTCATCAGTGTTTTTGATCTTGGCCATTCTTTCAGGTGTAAGATGAAATCTCAGAGTTGTTTTTGATTTGCATTTCTCTGATGACTAAGGATGTTGAGCATTTCCTTAAGTGTCTTTCCACCATTTTAGATTCCTCTGTTGAGAGTTCTCTGTTTAGGTCTGCACTCCATTGTTTATTGGAATATTTGTTCTTTAATAACCAATGTCTTGAGTTCTTTGTATATTTTGGAGATCAGCCCTCTGTTCAGTATGGGGTTGGTAAAGATCTTTTCCCATTCTGTAGGCTGCCGTTTTGTCTTGTTGACTGTGTCCTTTGCTTTACAGAAGCTTCTCAGTTTCAGGAGGTCCCATTCACAGGCAGTCTTTTTAGTGCACCAGAGAAATTTAAACAAATCCTCTGTCTTCACTCCATTCTGAAAGGTTACCTTTGGAAGTTGTGTTCTATCTCTCTCTCCTTTCCTCCCTCCCTCCTTCTCTCTCTCCACCTCTTCCCATCCACAATATTTCAATATTACTAACCATAAAACAAAGAATAAGCACTTGAAAAGATATAAATGGACAGATACAAGTTATTCCATATCAAGAAAAACAAAGGAAGAGCTCAACTGAAACCAGCCGTGATAATAAAGACTGGGTTTCTTAGAACAAAATGAAAATACATTGAAAGAACATTGAACCTTGTCAGTGTCCTCTAAACACTTAGACCCTTCTTTCAAAGCTCCTTAACTGTTAGTTTTTTTAAAATTAACTTTTAATATATCTCTGGGTGGATGGATGGATGGATGGATGGATGGATAGATGGTTGGATGGACAGATGGACGGATGGATGATCCTATCCAAATACATTTGTTCTCTGACTTATTCGACTATCCACAGAGATTTCAGCAGTGTTTTAATTTAGTTATGCAGTACTTCAGGCACACTGTCAAGGTTAAATATTCCCCCACGTCAGTACATTAGTGAAAATGAAATCACTTGTTGGACTGTAACTTTTGAGTCAGCTGAGAGCTGCCTGTGTGGTCTAAGCCGAGCTCAAAAATTTAACATTATAGGGAGGGAAGGACAAAACAGGTTCCTCAGCTAGCAGGACTCAGAATCTCCATAATGTTTTGCATAGAGACAAGAATATACAGATGCTGATCTCATGCAGTTCTGCTACTGTGGCGTCCAGAAAGGAAGCCGCTCCTCAGTGTGATACTGTAGCTCAGGAAGGTGGTAGGGATCCAAGGGGAGATGTGAAAGGCTGTGGGCACCAGAGTAGGAAGTCATATGCACCCCTCACCCAACTAGTTCTGATTGCTCTAAGAAAATGTTCCCACATACCTTTCAATCCAATAAACCCAGAAACAGTTGTCAAGATGAGTGGAAGCATTTATGGTGTATTCTGGAGATGGAGTGTTACGGGGGTTAGAAAGCATGTGTGCAGTAGCTAGAGCATCTGCAGGGCTTTGAAGAATGCCAAGGAGGTCAGAGTGAAATTCTCTGAGGACCTAAAGGCTCCAGGAGTCACTGGAGATAGATTTTAAGGCACTGCACGTGGGCGAGACCTGAAAGACTGAGGCAGTACCCCTTGAATTTTGACTCGTGTCACATCCGCCCCTGAAAGGAGACAGGGAGATCTGAAATCAGAAAGTCTCTCTGATGAGAATAGCAACAATGTTTGCAGGTTAAGGACAACATGTTATCCATGGTGACTGCTTCAAATTTTCCCTTTACAAGGCTGGGTGGCCTGGCGTGGTGACACATTCCTGCAATCGCAGACCTTGGGAGGTGGAGGCAGGGTGTGTTCTCTGCTCTGTAACACTGTGAGTTCCAAGGTCAAAACAAAGGAAAAGTATTAAGGAGCTGCAGCCCTCAAAGCTGCCTCACTGCTGGCCGTGACTTTATACAAAGTCACTTACTTCTAGGTGAAAACATCAACCTCCTTGTCAGGGGTGAGGGGCGCAACGGTGCTGCCAGCAAAGACATCTTATTGGAGGCACACAAATAGAATGCTAAGTCCTAAAGACAGATGATGCTGTGCCTAAATTAGACTCAACAACAGATGTGTATTTATTTTGTTTAAAATCTGGCTCCTGAATTTCTCAACAAAACGTATGCTGCAAAATAAGACTGTCCTCAAAAAGGGAGCACAGAGGGAAACAAGTAAATGCGGAGATGAGTTCCTCATGAAAGATTAAGACTAGAAGGCAAGAGCAGCAGGAAAAGCGATGCACTGACATCTAAAGTTATGTCAATGGTAGAAGAGTCATGGTACACACACAGGGAGAATGAAGGCTGTGGTGAAGCTGTAAATGGAAGTTAGCGGTGGCCTTGAAGCCTCAGCACAATCCCACAATTGCAGGGCTCTGAAGAGACTGGCAGGACACCACAGCTCCAGTTGTCCTGACTGTCCAGATGCTCCAAAACAAACTTACTGCTTGCTTTGGCATTTTAAAAATTCTGGAAGGGTCACAGGTAGTAGCATTGACCTATAACCCTAGTACTCAGAAGGCTGAGGCAAGAGGACTGTGAGTTTGAGACCCTGGGAAAGACTGCGTGACTTTTGAAGTTTGAATTGTTTTATATTGCTGTTAACATGAGATCTTGGGGGTGAACAAGAAAGGAACGGTTATGGTTTAATAGAGATGTGTTTGTGTGTCAAGTTGACCTTGTCTCAAAAAAAAAATCAGAAAACCAAAAATTACGGTTCAAGTCGTAACTCAGCAGAGTACTTTTCTTCTATTCAGAAAGTCCTGGGTTTGATCCCCAACACTGCACAGCATAGGTGTGGGCTGCATGTCTGTGAACTTAACCAGAGGATCAGAACTTCAAAGTCACTCTCTGCTGCACAGGGAGTATCAGGCCAGGCCCGCCTAGGCTAGAAACCGAGAGAGAGAGAGAGAGAGAGAGAGAGAGAGAGAGAGAGAGAGAGAGAGAGAGAGAGAGGAGAGCCTGTGCCTGCCCAGGCCAGTCTAGCCAAAAACGGAGAGAAGGGGGGGGGGCTGTGCCTGAACTAATGATTAGTTTTTGATAGATTTGCAGTTCTCATCTGAGTGGAATATGTGATAAGTGGAGCAATGGTCCACTTAAATGGAACATTTGAGGTCATCTGTATGCATTACCAAACTGCTTTAGAATGACAGAAGACTGGGCATTTAAAATAGAAAAGAATAAAGCCCAATGATGAACAATAACATAACAAGAAAAAATGGATCCTAGTCTATTACATGCCACAGAAAACAATGAGTTCATGATTACATAATCACATGAATAAACAAATGGAGAGAGGAGGCGTCTCCCCCACATAATGGAAGGCCAAATGATAAACACAAAAGGCAAGAAGGACACTGGAGAGTCTCCAGTTAGCAACCATTATGGTAATCATTCACCAAGGACACATTAATGAATGTTAAAACCAAAGGGTGAAGGTTTAATAACAAACAGAATTTGCATTAGTCTCAAAGTGCTACCAACTTACAACAACAACAAAAAAAGACAATGAAGTCAGTTGTCCAAAGAACTTGAAAAGTTACTTCCCCAAAGAAGATATTCAAATGTCCAATAGAAACATGCAAAGATATTCAACATCTCTAATCACTAGTGAAACCCCAAGTATAAGGAGGCACCAGCCCATACTCATTAGCATGTTGCTATCACTGTCACGACAGGCAAGGAGGAAGGAAGGAAGGAAGGCAGAAAGAAAAAGAAGGAGAGGAAGAAGAAGAAGAAAAGGATAAGGGAAGAGAAATGCGGAAAAATTGGAAGCTCTGTATAACAGTCATGGAAACGTAAAATGGTACAGCTGTGTGGAGGGAGAAAACACAGCCACTCCTCAGAACATTTAGAAATAGCATTGCCGCGCAATCAAGCAGCTCTCCTTGTGGGTAGATACCCAGGGTTAGCATCCGTCGTAGAGAGAGATTTGAAAACAGCTAAAACACAAGAGCAGCCCAAGCATCCACAGACCGATGAGAACATGATGAAACGGGGATGGTGTGCGGTCCTAACCTGGAGGAAATCCTGACATACACAATGAGAAATCAGGTACTGAAACTAGACGAGTGGCAGCCAGGCTTAGGAGAGGGAGAAAACGGGAGTTATTGTTTAATGGGTGCAAAGTTCAGTTTCAGCATAAACAGTTCTGGAGATGATAGTGAAGCTGTTGCACAACATAAATGTGCCCTGATTCCACTGAACAGTGGTTTAAGGATCGTTAATACACTTTTGAAAAAAATCCACTTAACATAATTACTGATTGCAAGGGGAAAAGAGCAATTCTATGCTAGAGAAACCTCAGTGTTCATCGTGAGTCCAATGACTCCTGCTTAACATCACCAGCCACAGAACGGACCAGAACCACGTAGAAATCTAGTGGGATGGGATGTGAAGAACATAGAATT